ACAAAAAGGCCTTTACGAATGCGGTGGAAGTGGGACTGTTGTCTCCGTCCTTTTTCCCGAGGCAAACTTCTCCATGTCTACTGCAATTAGCTCAGCCTGGAGTTTGAACAACAACACACCCGCTCTTGGACAAAATTAATTGAATTGTTTGGTTTTTATTTAAGCGTCGACCTTAAGACTTGCAGGAAACCGTGATCTGGATTGCATGTAGGCCTATGGAGTTGATGCAGCGTTGCCCTTTTCCACCGTCTCCACTGACCTTCCACTGAGAAATGTGGACGTCTTGGGACCTGACAGAAGATGAAAATCTTCCAGAATCGTGATCGAAGTTGTTGCTCTGAAAGGTTAATGTTATAATAGGCTACCCTTAGAGAATTTCCTCGTGTGTATGTTTTGATGCAGAAAGTTCACCCTAACAACAGATACCTTTTTCCTGGCTTTATGTTGCCTTTAAAAGGGTCAGTCATTCACATACTTTTAAAGGATTTGGGTAAACCTATGCCCGAACAAATCAACTGGGAACTCGAAAAAGACGCTGTCTCCCGCAGTGGCCGTAATGATGCTAAAATAGTCTGGTACCGATGACGTCATCAACGATTCATAAGGATGTATATCCGCCCTACAGGGACCCTGGTCAAGATGGCGCCACTACGTCACTGACATTTCATCTGTCTTGTATCATCTCGTGCGCAGTCTCTAGACAGTTGGCGTCTCCCTCAAGACGCTCTGCCCTCCTATCATCTCACATCTGTCTACCTGGCCTGTTTCACCATCAAGAGTTATAGCCACAAACAAGATGAAAACAAGTGAACCAAAGCATTTCCCGCGCACATGAAATCTGTTTCCTGGAGACATGCGCATAACACGCTCCCCTGCCCCACTGAAGCTGTTAACTGCGCACGATAGTGCCGGATGTTATTAAAGGAATTGCAACCTGAAGGCTCTGCAGTGATCTATCACCTCATGATGCTGTTTCAGCGACTTCAGGACAAGTGCGCCACCAGCGGTGAACTTTCACCGAGGTGCCGAATTTGGACGAGTTCAGTTTAAGTTTCGGGCTCATCAAGTTTGCTTGAATATGCCTCTGTGGTTTTGGTTATTATTTTTGGTCAACCTTTTCTTTACAAACTGTGACAGGTGGATTGGAAAATAGCCTTTTCTCCAGACTACAGGACTCAATGGGACCATGCAGCTTTGATGCAAAGTCAGTCTGGTTGGTATTAAAACCGTTTCCTCGAGTGAACTCTGCAGAAACCGATTTCAAATCGCGGATGTTCAGATCCCCTTGCCTCGAATTAACTTCAGTTATAGCGTGGAGTCCAGAAGCAACGCACGACCTACTTTTTGCCTGCAGCCCAAGTCAACGTTGAACAAACCTCCCAAATAAGCGGCAAAGTGAAAATGACAAGTTAATCCCAGGAAGATTTCAACACGGGGATGAAACCTGAGCGCTGCCCGGAGGAAAGTTCGGCATTACACGGTCTTTTAACTCGGTCACCGTAACTCTCCCTCAAACCTCCCCCTCCCACTGACCCGTAGCAGATACCCCAACTGCCACCTGCTTTTGCAGGCGGGAGCGTGTACTTAAGAGTTCATCTTGTAAGCTACTCGCCGGATGAAATAAGCGACTACCCTTGATACTTGTCATTTGGACTTGGGACTCGGCCAGCTTGACCGGCATCGCAACTATAGGAAGCTACTGGAGTGCTCATGGCCTGATGAACATTCGTCACCAAACTGCGGTTACGGGACTTAATACCTGAAATCCTTCTTTCAAACAGGAGGTGGGTATGTTGTTTATAAATGGTGTAAAGTTGTTTGTAAAATGGTGTAAATTTGAATCTGATTTTGGTGAGTTACTTATTTAAAGGGCCCATGCAATGTAATTTTTTTTAATGCGATCCTTGAAAATGCACATTGTGTCCCATTTAACCTTATTTTCAATTTTCGTTTTGCCATTTCCAGGGTATTTGGTGCCTTTTGGGGGTGTTTATGTTAAAGAAATTTCCATATTCATGAACGATCGTTTTGATGTAATTTCAGGTAGATAACTGAATGTTTCAGCACCAAAAGTTGCCAGAATTTGGATTGTTGTGTCAGTACATGGCAGTCAGCCAGTGTGCAAACTTTCTCAAAAATGTATTTCAATCAGCTTTTGAATTAGGCCTAAGGGCGGGACGATCCTAATTCCGGTTCTGAATAATGTGCGAATTTATTTTCACTGGAGCGCACCATTTAAAACCACTTTTTTAAAACTGTATAAAGGCCTGCAAAAGTGGGCAAGCAAATTCATTTGTTGCAGGAAATTATATTCCTTTAAATTTCGTTCGGAAAAGAAATCGAAATCTTGAAAAAGCACGTATCTACCAACTTTAGCTAAAGATGACATACCTTTGTATATTGATACCATTCGTGATATTCACATCCACCTCTCGATGCAAAAATCCGGCTTTCAATTTGTCAAAAGTAGAGCTTAATATCTCATCAAAGCCTCTGATCAAATTCATCCATCCCGTCCCAGAAGTATAATTGGCATGGGGTGGTTCCCTTCCCCCCCGCTGGGAGGATCTATTAAAGCACCCCATCACTAGGACAAGTCGCCTCAATGCAACACAAACTGAGATATGAAAGGGTTCGTGAAGTGTGCAACTTTCCTCTCCTCTTCAATGTATGAAAAATATTTCCCATCCCTTTTGGTTAATGTTATTGAGTAATACTCTTCTTTAAACATTTAAAAACCTTTCCATTATTTTTTGGACAACTGAGGGCGCTGTTGCTGTGATGTCATCTCACGAAGACACTGTTCAATTTTAGGGTTTTCTGTTCAAATTGTGAACCCCAAAAATGTGCTCACTGACTGAATGAATTTCACTCTAAAAACGTCTGGTCCTTCCGCGGGAGTGGATTTTCACTCGAGTAGAGTGAAGTTCCATTCTTTGGTAATGCGAGAGTAGCTCGCGTTTCAGAGTCTTTAAAGTGACATCACCCACACTCTTCGAGGTTACACTTGATCCTCTCGCCGGAAATCAACTTTAATAAAACAAATTTGACGGTTCCGGTATAATTATGCAGGCCCAAAGTCAGTTATACACTTACAAAAAGGTCTTATACTACGAAGAAGGACGAGTATGTTCGCTTAGGAATATAAATAGATGTTACATTATGTCCATGATAGTTGAAGTTCAAGGATATTTCGTAGCTTGATCGCTCTCATCTCGCAAACGTACGTGTTGATTACTCAGCTTCATGTCGAATCTTAGGCCTAATTAAATTGCTCCTCCTTATTTGGGTTGTAATCGATAAAAGGAGGGGGGGGGGGGACACTTATAGTACTGCAAAGTGGTTTTATTTTAGAAGATACTAGCCCAGCACCCGATTTCATCAAACTCTTCGTAACTTACGATGCATCGCAGCGCTGCGACGCGTCGTATCTCTACGATGCGTCGCAGCTGCGACGCGTCCTGCGATCCATTTCACTAAACACGTCGCAAGTGCGACGCGTCGTAGGTGTATTTATAGCACAACTCGGTGACTGTTTTATGTCTTTAGTCAGCGTACAGTAAATAGTCGTCTGATATTCAACAAAGAGTCGTCGGATCTCGGCTCGAAATTTGTTAAAACGTATAACAAAATGGCGGCCGTGCGATACAATTTTGAAGGAAAACAAGCTCTCATTGGACTGTATAGCTACTTTGAAATTTCAACTCTAATATTCCGGTCTAATTCATAATTATTCAATGAATTTTCTATTTACAACTTTACACACATTGCCTCGGTATTATAATCTCGTTAATGTAATGTTTGTGGCATAAAACTGGCTTAGAAACGACTCTTCTTATTTTGCGATGACCACTAGACACGTCGTAACTTGCGACGTGTTTTAAGCCGTTGTCAAGGAACTTACGACGCGTTCAACACATCGCAACTTTAGTGAAATGGAAGATACGACGCGTCGCGAGTTGCGACGTGTTACACGTCGTAACTTGAGTTGCGACGCGTCGCAGCGCTTCGTGAAATCGGGTGCAGTGCCCTATGTCTCCTTGAGTTGTTTCAACTGTGTGTTTTCATACAGACGCGCGCGGAAAGCCAACATCTTAAAGGCGGTGTTTGCACCGCTGTTATCGGGGAGAACCTCTGACATTACTAAATTCCCTGGCGGACCGAACAGAAATCCCTGGAGTGAGGAGCAAGGCTTAAGTTATTACCCACTGATCCGCGTAATTAAGCGTCTGATTGCTGATAGGGGGAGCGCCCCGAGCTAGCGCGACGATGGACCGACCCATTAAGCCCCGCCCACTGCGCACGCGGACAACCAGTGCCACACTGCGTGTTCCATCAGCCGCGCGTGTGCGTGATACGCGCGTGCACGCATGTCGCACTTTTGTGTACGCATGTCGGACGTTAGTCATGGTTGTGATTGGTCAAAACACCATTGGGCGGGGCTTAATGGACCGATCCAATGACCTTCAAGTGCGAGCTGCTTGTCCCGTGGACTCTTAGTACAGTAGAGGCCACGGTGGATATAATTATGTTTCAGTTTCTCGGAAGGATTACTTCAGCTGTCAGCTGTGTTTATGATATGAATCTACACGTGTAGGTCTGCGTGGGAGAGATTATTCAGTTACTGGAATTTCCATGATACACTGCATGCAGACTATTATCCACTATAGACAAAGTATGGAAGAGTTTATGGCATGGCCATATGATGCATGCACCCTTCTGAAAATACAAACTTACTGACAAGGCTGAAATTCGCTTGCTTTAGTGTAAAACGTAACTATGTCGGCATATTGACTTTCCAGAACAACTTTCACGATTGTAGACGATAATAGAATAGTCATTTTGTATTGAAATGTCCTAAAACATAATAATGTTCCTAAAGGATTAAACCTTTTTGTGTGTCCCTAAAGACATGAAATTAACATTTCAATACTGAATATGAAGTTATTTCTACCATATTACGAATATTATCTCTTTGTATTTGTTTTATACAGATCTGTGTTCATTTGTACAAGATGCACGGAACGATGCTGACTTGCGCCCTCGTCATACTGATGACAGGTCTGATCGCCATGACACTCGGTAACCAAGGCAACAACGCACGATACAATCGAGGCGAGGACTGTCGTTTCATCTACGCGTCACTGAAGTACGTGTGCGCACAGGGAGCGGGAATTACCCAGGTACCTTCCCCGTGCTGCATCACGCAAGTACGGTATCTAGAGCTGGTAGGTAACCCGCTGACAACTCTCCGCAAGAAAGAGTTTAGCAGGCGCTTCTCCAACCTCGAGAGTATGGACTTGAGGAACAATCAGATCAGCCACATCCAGCAGGGGGCATTCTCGGGACTCAGGAGGGTCCAAATCCTGGATCTAAGTGGGAATCGGTTGACCAGCCTTCCTGACGGAATCTTCAAGGGTCTGAGCTCCTTGACAACCTTGCATCTTGGCGGGAATGGGATGGCCAGAATGTCTCAAGGAGCTTTCAGTGGTCTCCCATCACTCAGTGTCCTGAGACTTGACAACAACAACCTGCGGGAGATCCAGGAGGAAGCCTTCGAGCCGTTGGAGAGACTACTCAGTCTCTACCTAAACGGAAACCAGCTAACCACCTTACAATCTGAGAGCTTCAGTGGATTGAGCCGGTTGCAGACGCTCTCTTTAGCCAGTAACCAACTCCAAACCTTCCCGGATATACTTCCGAAGCTTCCTGACTTGGTTCAGTTGATACTAAACAGCAATCCGCTCATCTGTGACTGTAGGGTTCTGTTCCTCCAACAGTGGCTGGCTGGACACAGTGGCGGACAGAGCAGAGAAACTGTACGCTGCTCAGCACCTCCAAGATTCCGGGGCCATAAATTGATGCCCATAAGCCCTCGATCTCTTTGCCAAACGGACCACCACCCACCAAACACAAATGGAGATGGAACATCTTATGTCTTTCAAGGATATGACGAAAGTTTCTCAAGTGCGACATCAGTCACTCATCAGGGGCACGGTGACTCTGCCGCTGGTGGGAAGTCTTTCCCTTCAGCGGGGAGCACAACAAAGCCGGCAACAGCCAATGAGAGATACGAACAGGTGTTTTTCGATAATATCCCCGGAGACTCAGATCATGCAATCCCTCCTCCACTAAGACCTACTAAGGATCCAGGAGTAGCATTAGATCCTGGACAGGGACCTTCTCAGGCAACCACAATACCAATACCGATGCCGAAACCAACGAGGGACCCAGAACGCACAGGGTTTGTCACTCCAAACCCACGACCTGGCCTTCCACCGGACGGAAGTCCCAACGCATTCAATCCAAACCCTTCTGGACAAAATCCTTCGCGACCCAGACCGCCCGGAAGGCCTCCACCGTTCGAACCACTGCGGCCAACGTCTGGATACGGCTGGCCAAATCAAGACACTAACCATACCGCGAGGCCAGGGGTTGCAGGAGGAAATGGAAACTCAGAGAAACCAGCAGTCGATCCTGGGGGACCTGGCGTCCATCAAAACGGCTCGTCAAACTCCAATGGCACATTAGGAAACTTTCCAGATGGTGGAGCCACAGGGTCTCCAAACCACACTCAAAATGAGTCAGGTGCGTCGAACAACAAACCAGGACAACCTACAGATTCTGGGATTTTGACAACCTTGTCATCTGTAGCAGTCAACTCGTCCGTGATCGCCGGACTCCCAGGGGTAGTTGGCACGAGCGGCGAGGCCGGGGCGGACGGGAACGCGGAGTTGCCAAATTTACCTCTCGTCATTTACGGTGTGGACGGCCAGAACGTCGTGCTACACTGCGGAACGAAAGACTTGGCCCCCTATCCCCGGGTGAAGTGGCTACATCCCCACGGTCGCCCCGTCACAGGCCTGGACAGCCGCTTCAAGTTGAAACGGGACGGGTCTTTGCGAATTCACCCTCTGCGAAAAAGTGACATGGGTAGTTACCGATGTATCGTGAGAACCCTGACAAGTTCTCGAGTGATTTTGGTCCGTCTGCGGGCTGCTTGCCCTTGCACAAATGCCGTGTCTTTTGATGGGCAACTTTATTACGATGACTCCTCCCCTGAGTCGCATCCAGTTCCAACGTACGCGTGCAGTTGGACACCATTGGTCATAGCCGTGGTGACGACGTTCCAAGGAACCATTGCCGCGTGCGCGTTAGCGTTCTGCGTGTGGTACACGCGCTGCCACCGCAGAAAGACATTCACCATACGCGTGGAGGAGGCTGAAAGACGCGACAGCAAGAGGCTCAGAAACAGCGATATGTCTGTTTTAAGACATTGCTCCAATTCCACCGTCACTTCACTCACGGACTGCTCTCGAGCGACCAGTTGCGAACAGGGATCGCTCCACCCTTCCGATTCGCTCACTACACCCCGTACAAGCCACACCCTTAGCGACTACATGAACGCTTATGTGACGCAGCAGATGCGTCGGAACTACCAGCTTGGATTGCCGATACCAGACTATGTGGATCTGGACCCCAATTCTCGGGACCCTCACGAGACTTTGTACTCGAGTCTTCGAGGACGAGACTTCAACAATAGGAGGCGGCGTATTGTTACTCAGTGAACGCCCACCGCCATTAAATTGACGGTGGATTTATAAATAGAATGTTTTATTGTGATGTTTGGCGCGAAACAAGAAAGTCGTCATTTAGAGCTCTGCGGTTAGTGCACGACTAAAAAAGTACTGTACAATAAAATGCATGGTATAGACAAGAGCTAGTTAAACGTTCATTATTTATAATGTAAGAAAGTAGTAAGAAAGTAGGTGGAAATGTTGGGTAGTTTCACATCGTATTTCTTAAATATTACCACAATGCATGTAGCGGTGGCGGAACGGTTTTCAAACGGGGGGGGGGGTCACCACCAAAAAAAGTGGGCACTCCTCAGTAAAAGGCATCTTCCTTCGGTGCTGCAGCGTATCCAGCATTTTGCCTCCATAAAACAAGGGGGGGGGGGGCTAATACCATCTTCCAAAATAGGGTACGCTCTTCAAAACCTGCAATTATGCAAACTAAGCATGGGTTAGGGTTTTGGGGCTTGGTTTTCATATCCCTCGTTCCTATCAGAACTCTCTATACTATTTTGGGAAATGGTTACTGAATACAATTATCGGAAAGTTGAGGACCAGGTTTGTTTTCATCTCTAGGGGGCACATTAATGTTCGAGGGGGCACTGTTATGTCCGCAAGAGGGGCAAGTGCACCCCCCCCCCGGTTCCGCCGCCCCTGAATGCATGTCTAGTGAACGACAGTGAAAAACCAAGGATTGTTTTTAACATTTCATGCCAATTTTAGACGGGTTATTTTGAATAAATCTGGCTGATGTAAAATAATGTCCATGCTGCGTGCAAGCAGACCCCTTTCCCAGGCACCAAAAAGTTTGAGTTTAGCGCCCCAGAGATTGGAAGGCCGGCAGCACTTGCATTACGCATGCGCGATAGATTTTTTTTCGGCGGGCCGGAGAAACACCCAAAATCGGAAAGATAGTTTCCTGAAAACTTGGGCGTTAGAAAGCTTGTAATCTCTTTAAAATTAAGCAGGGCTGGGACTGCGGTGCATTTTTTTCTGAAACAGATACTGGATGGAAGGTAAAGGACCTTTTTAAAAATGTGTTTATGGCAGTTCTGTACGCCCCTACTCTATAAGGGGTGAGGACTAAAAGGGCAAGGACGTCCAATTTGGCCAAACCTGAAAGGCAGAAATTATTTTGTTGACAGAACGAACTATTATTGTACACTTCTGCCACCAAAATTGACCGCTGTACGGTGGACTGGAATTTCCCCTCTAAAGTTTGACCATCTTGCGCTTAATACCTGGCAGTCGTTCAACTGAGGAGTGAAAGGAGGAAGGAGATTTCCTTATCTCTCAGCTGTCAAGAAACAGCGAAGGAGACTTTTCCTTCCAAGCCCAGGGGTATACAGTTCTCGGTGGATTCCGGCCCGTTTATGGTTCAGTGATATGTCATGTGTTATCTGGACCATCAGTTCATAGCGTGGATGTAGAGCGTGTAACATAAACCGTTGCGAAGCTTAAGTAATAACAAAATAATGATATCATATACATGTACATTTTTATAATCAACCCGAGCCAGCCGCTTCGGCCATGCGCCAGGTCGGGAGCGCGCTGACAAGCCTGCGCACACGGGATTTTTGTAAACACACTAACTGACAGAAAGAAAGTGACAGAAATTAATTGATATCTCACCGTATCTAGAAAACTATTTGATTTAGAAACTTGTGGATTGTTGCATGTTATTGCCCTACCATCCAACTTTAAATCCATGTAAATTGTGGAAGCATTGACATATGCCGAATGATCGTGTGAAAACAATGTTAGATCATGCAACTTGGGTTATAAGTCAATTAAAGTCGCATTATCCATGCAGGCCTGCAGCAGCCTGTCGAAATGGACCGATCCAGTAAGCACCGCCCCATGGTATTCTGACCAATCACAGGCGTGATTTATGTCCGACATGCGTGCACAAAAGTCCGGCATGCGTGCACGCGCGTATGATGCGCGCGGCAGGAAAATGCAGTGTGGCATTGGAGAGGAGCACGCGTTAATTTGCCCACGTGCGCAGTGGGAGGGGCTTACTGGATCGGTCCATTAAAGCAGTTTGACAGACGTAGAAGTGCGTTCCAAAAAGATTGTGGATTGTCAACTTTTCTTGTGGTGCTTAAGGTTAATGATCAGTAATCAGTGGACATTTCAGAACTTGGTTAGTATCTTTTGAAACCGGTTTATCATGTTTACATAATACATTAATGAGTTCACACTGTTAAAAAATTGCCAATAAAGTTTGAGCTTGATATCGTGCGTTGTCATTGTTTTGTGAGTTCAAAGTGTGTTCGTCATGGACAAAATAATTTGCAAGTTTTCTCGTTTTTAAAATGGCCCATGCATCTGTCTAACATGGTCCATGCATCTGGCTATAACATGGCCCAGTGGCATGCATCAAGCTTCCAGATCACTAGAGGAAAGTGAAAACTATTTTCAGTCAGTATACTGCATTTGCAAAATTATATTTTAAGAATGCAAGAAACCTGAAGTCGTTATCGTTTTGCATTAATCTGATCAAAAGATTACGGTGGCATAAAATGGGTCAATGAAAGAGTCATACTTTTACATTGAAGTACATGTACTAGAGTAATTTGTCCCTACGTTGAGTGAACGGTTATTCCCCCCGTTGACGTCATCATACCGGGGTCACGGGATATGGATGCGTCACTCGTCGGGCGGGACGTGCCTCTAGGGGGCGGCATTTATAGGTGCCGTGATGTCACAGAAACGGAAACGTGATTTCCCGATAAGTTCCGTCGAAATGTCAAGGAATTCATTTTTGACAGGGGATAATGGAATGGTCTTACAGTGTTGTGGATTATTTATGCTAAAATAGAACTGTATGAATTATTCAGCTGCATGATGCTAGGTTTGCTCTAGATCTATGGTTTGACTCTAGGCTAGGGGCGCACACCGGCCAATACTGAGGCTTAATCCCATCCGCCGAGCTCATGAATAAAAGTAATCATATATTAGAGAGTTCTGAGCGCCATAAAAGTGGGGCAATTGAAGAGATATTGCAATGAACCTGTGGCCTGGACTTGGGGCTACCAAATATGAGCTTTTTGGACGGCAATTGGGCTCGAAAGTGGCACTATTTTGCCACGTTGTGGAGGGATTGTTTTTCAAGATGGCTACTTTTCTGGTTTGGGGAAAAAAGGGGTCATCTTCTTTGAGTGAGAATTCCTCGAAAAGTCAATGGTCAACCCACCAAAAAATGAAAAGAAAATGAAAGATGACATTTTTGATCATCAATTTTCTGTGCAGCTAAAAAACCTGTGAGAGGTCTGAGTATTTTTACAAAGAATTTTGAAGTATGGGCATTTAGCACTTGTGTCTGTGGGAATTTTATTGCGGGGTTGCACCCTGGCCCTAGGCCCGCGAGAGCTCGATCGTGGAACAACCGGGGATAAGTTAGGATGCCCGGTGTAAAGGCCGACGTCACAAACTCGTGAGTTTTGGGGCTAACCTTAAAGTTGACACCGTAAGTGAAATGGGATCCCAAACCCAAATTCAGGTACGTGTCGTTAAAAAAATAAATAAATAGAAATTGCATTATTTACCGACTTTGTGAAATTAGATTTTTCAAGAATCGAAACTACAAAGTTGCTCTGGCGCACTTGGCAGTGACATCGCCAAATTTTTATTCAATTAATTTACTCATATCGGGCTTAAAAAGCAGGGCTCAACTTTCAATCCAAATCTTCGCAGCCTTTAGTTAGTTGGTAAATATTTGTTACAGCAAGAAAGAGTAAAATTAAATACTATAAAAACTTATTTAAAGTTTTCATAAACCTGTGACCCACCCAGGCTAATGTGCGGGCGCAGAGCAGACGACCGACCGTATTTTATACAGAGCGCCACCTATTGACGAAATATACGTCAGTTTAAAGATGGCTGCCCTGTTCATCAAATGTAAATTGTAAGTGAAAAGGATCACAAGTCGAATAATTAATTGCAATCACGTTCAATGGCATGTCTTTTGTCTGTACTAGTAATTAACATTTACACTGGGAAGTAATGTTAAAGAAAAAGTGTTTAAGTGGGACACACTTGTTTTGTAAATGAAAGAAAAAGATAAGACAATTTTAGCCGGATATTCATAATTCAGCATGTTCACAGTGACGTTAAGCGCTAGCCAGGAAGATTGTACAGCGCCCTCTTTGACGCGTATACGAATTGGCCTACAATAATAATATAAAAGGTATATTACCACCTTCGTATTTTGTGCAGCACCTGTGGCCGAGTGGATAGCGCATTTTTTCATGAGTGAGAGATCCCTCACAGCACAGGGTTCAACTCCAGGCCCGCCCGGCCCAGTTTATTAGCGACATTTTCAAAAAATTTTTGGAAAGAATTCCATTATCATGTGGACGTCACTTGACACCCTGTGTACAACCTAGGCTATGTCGAGCATATGGAGCAAGAAACGAGACTGGTCTGTAAAATGTTTTCTCACTAATGCTTCAATATTTTCCCTGCGAAATTTCACTTTTTAGGACATGTTATCGCTTTCTGATGTCTGATAATTCATTACAAGGCGAAATTTATCCCAAAAAAATTATTTTATGATGGCCAGACAACTTAGTGTTGGATCACAATGACCAAGTTTTCACACAAAATTTGGTGTTGGCCTAGTTGTTTGTTCTTCCACTGTGTTCATGTAAAAATAATTGACAACTTTTCTTTCCTCAACCAGGGAGTTCGTCTAAGTAACTTTCCCGGCCAGAATCAGCATTCTGCGCAAAGTAGTCTCGTAAAACTGGACTGAATATGAACGAAACGTGTGAAACAAAAGCACACTCAACAGTGCTGTAACGCTCGGTATGAGACGCCAAAATCTGCCGTTTGACTCCGAACTGCGTCATTACCTCATGAATCCCTCAGAGGGTGTGGAGGATTCGAACCACGGACAAAACATGAGTGACCGTCAAGAGGAGGTGGGCCACCCCAGCCGGCCTGCGACCAGCGCCCCTCAAGAAAGTGTCCAAAACACCAGGTACTTAGAAAGAAAAGACTCATTTATTAGAATTACAAGTTTCGGTTTGACTTGAGTTCAGTAACAAAACTTTGCACAGCCGCATGACCTTACTAAGATAAACCCTCCTATGCAAACATACATTCTGTGCCAAGTTGTCCTTGCAGTCAAAATCAATCAAGCGAGTGTTTTCAACCCTTAAGAATTCCCAGCCCACATAAAGCAGGATTGACTGCCTTGGCCTGCTTTAATAAGTAACTTGATACAGCTATGCTTTGACTGCGGGTGAGTGATAAAACAGCTATGACCACAACTTGCCTGCTTTGTTTGTTGACCCAGTTTGACTAGTCACAGTGTTTGCTTGACATATGATCTGACTGCTGGTGACTAGCCTTTGTTAAAAGTGTAGCAGGGAAGTGAAAGTGAATTTTGACTGTCTGTGACTGCTTAAAATAATAGCAGGAGGGTTAAAGGGAAAATACAACATTTGCAAACATCAAAAAATAAAACTACCAAATCATTTTGAAATACCTTGCTGGACTGTTAGTGAATGACAGTGTAAAGCATCCTGTAAAATCATGGCACCTGGTACATGTATACTGTCATTTTCAAGAAAAGTGGTATTTTTGTATCAATTTCCAACGCTGGTCGGCCGACCAGCGTTGGAAAAAAACTGGCTTTTTTTTCAAATACTGGCCCCAATTGACCATCGCACTTGATTGCAATCGATTACACACCTATGAACGGGTACAAGCCAGCTAGACTGGTTCCCTGACCTTACAATTCCCCAATGTATGTAAACTGCTCTGTTTCTGCTTATATGGAGTCAGGGAACCAGACTACAGGAAAATGTTTGTTTTTCTTGGTTTTTATAGCATTTTCAAACCCAAAACCTAAAAAAAGTCAGTGTAACTATATTTGCTATATATTTCCAACCCCCAATTCCATCGATTTCTGAAAATTACAGCAAAAGCAAATGATGTATATTAACTTTAACTATCATATTTTAATATCAGGTATTGTCTTCGTCAACGCAATTTTTATGAGCACTGTGTACTCAGCGTTGTCGAAGAGCTTGTGAGAAAGAATTCACGAGCCTACTCGGGTGGGACTCGAACCCACGCCCAGGACTGCACTAGGCAGACGTCTTGCCACTCAACCACCGAGCTTGTGGGCGTCAGCTGGCCAGTTCAAATCTGTAATATCATAGTTGGGATGGCATAAGTTGTCAAGTTTGTAAGAAAATCTTCAGCCACTTCATTTGGAGCTTCCACTTTTAAACGGGTACCAAATTCTTCTTTTTAGGTCTAATCCAAGTCCCAAGAGAAACTCGGCCAAAAAGAAATCGTCATCAAAGTGTAGCATACTCTGTCGGCTGTTTTACAACTTACTGAACTATGTCATAGCTACGTTCTGGGGTCTGTGCACCGCTTGGATACTGGTACTCGTGCTCGTGTACTTGTTTTACGGCACCACGCTTGCGCTGGTGTTGGCATTGGTAGCTATTTTGGGTGAGTTTGTGAATATCCATTCAGTTGTTAATTCCTTTGATCTGTGGAATTGTAAAGCATTTTTCAAAAGCATTTTAAAGGAATTTTCACTGCTGAATGTATTTGTATCGTATTTGGCCAGCTTTTTGTTGAGGAAAGGGTCATTTTTACGTCTGGTATTTGAAGAAGACATAAGTAATTATAAATATCATTGTCAATTTACATAACTTATATTGATTAAGGTATATTTAGTATCTATTTTTCGGGATTCCGGGATTCTAAAAACATAACTTATATTGATTAAGGTATATTTAGTATCTATTTTTCGGGATTCCGGGATTCTAAAAAAACACCACCTTTAAAAACGTCCAAGTTTTAGAAACAATGGTTTAACCCTAACTCCCTGGGCCGTTTTGCTAGGATGTAGCCTCAATCCTGCAAAATCCTCCAATTGGCCTCATGGAAAAATAGCATATAGCCTCAATCCTGCAAATTCCTCCATTATTTCTTGAATATGGTCAGTGGAGGGGTGACCACTGCCTGAATCCTGCAAAATCCTGCGCCAGTGACTGTCTTTGTGTTGAGGCTTGGCCAGTGACATCCTGGAGCAGTACGGAGGATTTAAAGCATAATCCAGGCCTAAATTTATGCATGGCTGAGCAAAAACAACACAAGGTCCGGCCCAAGACCTTGACAAAGTGCATCCTACGAAATCAGTAACACACTTTTGCCATGTAAGGTGGAGTGTCATGGCCTAGCGGTTAAGAGCACCGGACTCACACTTTGGTGTTTCAGAGGCAGCAGTGGCATGGGTTCGAGCCTGGGTCTGGACACTTGTGCCCTTAAGCAAGGCACTTAACCATTATTGCTTCATCCTTCGGATGGGACGTAAAGCCGGAGGTCACATGCATTGTGTAATGCAATGCACGTAAAAGAACCCAGTAACACTTATCGCTAAGAGAAGGGGTTTCCCCCGGTGTTTCTGGCCTCCTGTTTATACTCCCCTGCGGAGTCCTTAGGAGAAGAATCAACCAAGTACCAAGTACCAATCCTCCAAATTCCTCCACTTTGGCAAAGAGGATTATGAAGGATTCAGGGCGGTTAGTGTTAAGGATGTAGAGCCCATTAAAATCTTGTATAGATTTTGTATTTAGGTTTGGGCTGCAAGAGGTTAAAAATTCGAACTTTCTTCCTGTTAATTTGTTTCTATCCGGAATGGAGTTCACATTGACTACTCTAAACTGTTCGTCTTGTTTCAGATTCTTTGATAATTATATTCCTTTTTTCTGTTCCCATACTCAGGGCTGGCATACAATATCCAAGACAAACTCCTGTATTTCCCTGACGAACCGGAGTCTTCCAGATTCTACGTGGCTCCACCTCAATCCACGGGCCTACCCTACGAAGACCTCTACCTACAAACCTCGGACAGAGTCAGGGTCAGCGCTGTGCTCTTCAAACAGGCCGAACCGCTCTTTAGCCGAGCGCCGACAGTTTTGTTTTTCCATGGGAACGCGGGAAATATTGCGCATAGGTAAGGGAAAGGGGCGACATTTTGTGATCTTGTCCAAATGTCCTTAACCCTAACCTTCCCAAATCCTCCAAAACCCTCTTTGCAAAATGGAGGATTTTGCAGAATTGAGCTATATGGCAAAATATGCGGCTGATTTTGGAGGATGCGCTGTGTCAAGTTTTAGGCTGGAAGTTGTGTTGTTTATTCTCAGCCTTGCATAAATTTAGGCCTAGATGAGACTTGAAATCCTCCGCACTGCTCCAGGATGTCACTGGCTCTGCCTCAACATATTGACAGTGATTGCTGGAGGATTTTGCAGGATTAAGGCACTGGTCACCCCTCCAAGGAGCACATTCAAGAAATAATGGATGATTTTTGAGGTTTGAAGCTGTATGCAATTTCTACATGGAGGCAGTTGGAGGATTTTGCAGGATTGAGGTTGCATCCTAGCAAAAATGCCTAGGGAGTTAGGCTTAACAGAAAATAGTACTGTGCTCAGCAAAAAACAACAGATGAGAACCGGTTAAAAGCAATATAGAGTGTGTGTCATTTTGGCTGGTAACCGGTTTAGGCTAAGTGGATATTTTCTCTGCTAAGCGAAGTTCTGTGCTTACCAAATCCGTGTAGTTGTTTGCTGTTCTTATGAAGCAATTGTGAAATTAGCCATTGAACTTTTTTAATGAAATTCTGATTTTGTTTTATTTTTTGCGACAGGTATTTTAATGCCCACGGACTCTATGCCATGTGCGGCTGCAATATTCTATTTCTAGAATACCGAGGTTTCGGCCGAAGCGAGGGGCGGCCCAGTGAGGCTGGTAAGAAAAATGAGGCTGGTACGAGGAGGTGGGACAGGGAAGAAGGGGCGGGGTTAGAGGAGGAACAGGGGCGGGAAAGGGATGACACTTTTTAAACTGTTAACAAGCTCGATCGGATCTCAGAAGCTGCGGGCCAACGAATTCGTGTTCATGCATGAGTCACGTGATAGTGCCATGTAATTTCTGGAAGGAGTAGTGTTTTGAGTAAAAAAAAAAAGAAAGAAAAGAAGATGATTTTTGAACCCAGTGACCCCATAATGACCTTTGACCCCAGTTTGGTCATGTGACATGTTGGGGCTGGGCTACTGATACTTTTGACAAAGTTTGGCTGAAGTCGGTCGAAATTTGTAGGAGCAATAGACAATGTCAACGTTTGTTACTAACTAACAGACAGACGTGATGATTGGTTGAGCTGCTATCCCGCAGCTAACAACGAAATTTTAAAAACCATGTTTTCCCTGTCATTTCTCACTGTTACTTTAGGTTTCTACCTCGATGCCCAAGCCGCCCTCGACTACCTCCACAGACGTGGCGACATCGATACGCGACGCATAGTTGTCTTCGGTCGGTCACTAGGTGGCGCCGTTGCCATCAACCTAGCCTCGCAGACGGTCAACAGGGGCAAGATCGCGGGTCTCGTGATAGAGAACACGTTTACGAGCATCCCGGATATGGGCACCGTGATTTTTCGCACGGGCCTTTTGCGATGGGTACCGTTATTCCTAGTCAAAAATCAGGTAAGTTCCTTTAATTTGATAGGCCTTATTCAAATTATGGCCTATTGTTACATCGTGTGCTTGGACACTGTAATTTCATTGGTCAACAGGGTGAGTAAAAAAAAAGTGAAACCCAAATGTCAGGACTATTGTTTTAGTGAAGTTCTGCATGTAGCACTTTCCAAATCTAGAATATGAAAGCCCAATTCATAAGCTTTCTTTTAGTACAAGAATCATTCAAATCATTCATGCACTTTTCAAGTTACGGAATTTTAAACACAAACACAGTTTTAAAGTTCTGTCCACGGATCACAAAAAAGGTGTGCGTGCTTTCAGCAAAACGAAAACAAATTCACACATCCCTATGTGATTTGTGTTCATTTTGCTGAAAAAACACTGACCTTCATGTGATCCGTGGACACAACCTTAAAACGGTCTTTGTGATTAAAATTCCGTAACTTGAAAAATGCATGAGTGATTTGAATGATTCTTGTACTAAAAGAAAGCTTATGAATAGGGCTTTCATGTCCTAGATTTTGAAAGTGCTACATGCAGAACTTCACTAAAATAATGGTCCTGACATTTGGGGTTTTTTTTTTTTTACTTTCCCTGTAGAACAGCCATGTGTCTGGTCTAAAAAACGCATGTCACACGCTTTATCCATTGTTACGTGGAGATCAGTGATACCGCACTGATTTCATTGAGCGCGTTGCGTGCGCATGGAACCTACCGGCGCGCTAGCTTCGCGCAATGAGAACTGCAACGTCAACCGCTCAGTCTCATGTCCGGCAGGACATCAAAACCTTCAGTTATCAAAGGTTACATCGCAGTGGTTTAATTTATTTCTCACAGAGTAAGCTACAACCATTCATCTTTTTGACTTATTGGCACGATATAACAAAACAATTGTTGACTGCTGTGATGTTGGATATGAAGTTTGAACACCCGAGGGCCGAGGGTGCTATGCCAAATTGTCTTTGGTATAAGTAGATTAAATAGTTCAGATATTAACTGGAAAATAAATATTGTTTTCCAATAACATTTTTTTTATTTTCCTCTAGTATTTTTCCATCAATAAAGTCAAGCATATACGAACGTCTACTCTGTTCATCTCTGGGGTTGAGGATGAGCTGGTCCCATCTAAGATGATGCATGAGTTATTCCTGGTAAGACATGGGGTACCAGTCCGTTCCATTCCAATATTTGCCTCTCTGATTGTTTCTTATTTAAACCGCTAAATGATTTTTCAAAACTTGCGTCGTGAGGTGAGATTTTCATATACTGATTCCTGCTTTTGTTAAAATTTAACATATATTCGAATTGTTCTCTCATCCAGCGATGTGGTACTAAGAACAAGCAGCTGATCAGGTTTGAAGGGGGCACTCACAATGAAACCTGGCGTTGCCATGGTTACTTCACTGTCCTCCGAGAATTTCTCACACAGGTAAACCTTTTATAGTGCAGATTTGTGAAAAAAATAATAAACTCAGTAAAATATTCATTGAATGCCATGAAACCTACGTTTCTGGATGTGTGACTAGAGTTTGACCTTTGACTGTATTCTGACCTTTGTTGTTTGACCTTTAACCATAGTTTGACTCTTTACCATAGCTTGACTCTTTGACTATAGTTTGACTCTTGACCATAGTTTTACATTTGCCCATAGTTTGACTCTTGACCATATAGTTTGATTCTTGACTATAGTTTGACTCTTGACCATAGTTTGACTTTTGACTATTAATGCAGTTTGACACTAGACCATAGGTTGACCTTTGGCCATAGTTTGACTCTTGGCTATAGTTTGACCTTTGACTATGCATGTAGTTTGACTCTTGACCATAGTTTGGCCTTTGTGGTTAGACATTTGACAACTTTGTCCTTGACTTTAGTTTGGCCTTGAGTGTAGTTGACCTTTGACCATAATTTGACGTAGGTTGATCTTTGTAGTTTGACCTTTGACCACAGTTTAACCTTCGACCTTGCAGGCGACCTATCGGGAGACCCAACTGATCAAAGACTTACCAGTGGGTGCCCAGCGGGTGCGGGACACCAGTGAAACCTCAACCAGGCATCACATAGAGACCGTATGATGGGCGCCGACTGGGTCAGGATACCAGGTTTGTATTGCGTTCCTCACTACCCACCGCCGTGACCTGAGGTCAAGTTGGTGCAATAATGATGGTGTGTGTGTTGTAATGACTGCAGATATCTCGGTTGTTTTTTGAAAGATATCAGTTCTCACACAGAGGCTTGGGTGAATGACAATATTAAATGCCTGGTTGTTATATTTTCTCAACATATTCCTTTTCCAGCATTTTCATGTTCTTCAAAGCAATACCTTTAAGTTGTTTGTTTAAATTCAATTCTTACTTAATAAGTTGGATACTTATGTACATTGAAAGCGACTGCCGAATTCTTAATCGTATCTTTGCCCTGTAGAAAGTTCGGGAAGTGTAATCAGATTTTGAGAGACTATCCTTTTTGGGGTCAAGCATTGGGATTTATTTTTTGGGGGGAATAAAGTGTAAAGTCAGACATGAAATTTAAGGTTTGCCCTGTTTTTAATGCGACTGGCAGACCATTATTTAATTTATTTTAAAAGTAACATAATCAAAATTAGCTAATTAGCTTAATTTTAGCTAATTAATTATCCTTGGAGTAGACTGAGTCACAGAACTGAGTCACAGAATTGAGTCAAACTGAGTCGAGAAGCTGATTCATAAAACTAAGTTACCCAACTGACTCTCACAACTGAGACACAGAACTGAGTCACAGAATTGAGTCAAACTGAGTCGAGAAGCTGATTCATAAAACTAAGTTACCCAACTGACTCTCACAACTGAGACACAGAACTGAGTCACAGAATTGAGTCAAACTGATTTGTAGAATTGAGTTACACAACTGACTCTCACAACGGAGACACGGAACTGAGTCACAGAATTGAGTCAAACTGAGTCGCAGAACTGAGTCATAAAACTGAGTTACACAATTGACTCACAACTGAAACACAGAACTGAGTCACAGAATTGAGTGAAACTGAGTTGCAGAATTGAGTTACACAACTGACTCTCACAACGGAGACACGGAACTGAGTCACAGAATTGAGTCAAACTGAGTCGCAGAACTGAATCATAAAACTAAGTTACACAACTGACTCTCACAACTGAGACACAGAACTGAGTCACGGAATCGAGTCAATGTGAGTCGCAGAACTGAGTCATAAAACTGAGTTACACAACTGAGTCACAAAACTCGGACATAAAACCGAGTCCCAAATCTGAGTCAAAACTGAATCACAAAATTTAAAATGCCGAGCATTTCCACATGGCAATTCATTGGTTGTAACATTTAAATTTGTAAGCCAAAGTAATTGAAGTAATATAAAGAAAGCCTGACACGCCTTTTGATTAGGCACTTAATCGTCGCATCTTGAAATAAAAATATAAAGTAATGCTGCTAGTGATATATAATATAGTTTTGTACTAGTAAGTTATAATCTTGACTCTCTGCTTCGAAATCAAATGAATAAAGTATGTCTTTATAAAGACAATAGATGAAATAATGTCTTTCTTAATATGAAAATAATACCATTCAAACTGGCATTTATTTAAAGGGAATATACAACATTTGCAAACATCAAAAAACAAAACTACCAATTTATTATGAAATACCTTACTGGACTGTTAGTGAATGACAGTCTAAAGCATCCTGTATCATGGCACCAGGTGTGTAGTCATTTTCAAGAAAAGATTTTCAAGACTTTGTATCAAATTCCGACGCTGGTCAGCCGACCAGCATTGGAAAAACTGGCTTTTAATACTGCCCCCAATATATATATTTAGTTAGTCCGCATTTTGTTTGCAATCGATTCCACACCTATGAATGGGAACAAGCCAGCTAGACTGGTTCCCTGACCTAACAAGTCCTTGACGTCTACAAATTGCTCCGTTTCAAGTGGGGTCAGGGAACCAGACTACAGGAAAATGATGTTTTTTCTTAGTTTTTTTCCCCCCAGCATCTATGTCATGTGTAGGAACACAAAACTTCAAACAAGTCCATGTAACAATATTTGCTGTAAAAATACTAACCCCCCCCCTAATTCATCCATTTCTGAAAATTACAGCAAAAGCAAATGTTGTATATTCCCTTCAGACTTGCCATGATTATGATGATGATATTCCCTGTAACCATGGAGGAATAAGAACAAACACTGACGTTGCAAAAAGAGAGTTGTTAAATTCGGCAAATTTTAATCTTGACTCAAAAAAAATTAAAAAATATTCCCCACTTGAACCCATTGCATTTCCTATATACTGCCCTCAACGGCGGGGAGTCTGGCACGTCTTGTCGAAAAGAAAAGAAAATTCAGGCCCCCCCCCCCCCCCACCCCGGGGAAAAGAAATCTCGTTTGCCCGTTTTAAGGCTTCTGTACCCAATTTGTGCAATCACGGGAAATGCCGTGTTCATTCAGTCAATGAAAGAGCGATCGTACCACCGGAAGAATTTAACAGCTAAAAATTGGGGTCAGCACTTTATATGGTGTGTCAGATAGGTGAATTTTATTAATCATTTATTAGATAACAACTCGGACGCGTGGGCTACGTGCATATTTCGTGCCGCGGTCCTATAGTTACGGCGGGGGCAAGACCGTGAAATATGATACAATTGATAGATTGGATTTATTTCGAGAACCAAACTGCATAGGGGTAAAAGACTCCGTAAAAAAAATAATGATAAAATAAAACAAAACAAAATAAACTTAATTGTTTGCTGTCATTGTTTGACTTTAACTCATTGTCTGGAAAGAGCAGACTGTTTATGGTAAACACTATTGTCTTTTGAGTTCAGTGAATTTTGTGGTTTTACCGAAGAAAATTAGACCGTCTTTTCTCGGAACTGCACAACTGTATATTATTGAAAGAAATTGTGCAATGCACATTTAAAACTTTATTTTTATATCTTCCTTTAATCATGCGACTATACATTTTGACGAGATGTATTCGACATGCATTAAGAAAAGACGTCCGCTTTCGACTTAATTTAGTAGTCAGTGAAGCTGTAAATTTATTGCGCCATAAAATGACCAAACCATAGGGTCCGCTCCATCTCACTGACCCATATTTTCCGCAAGAGGGCGTTCTATCCATTCTCCGCGCTCCAACCCTCCAACCAAAATATTGTTATGATAGTGTACAATTTACACGTGTACATGAAAGCCGAACCCCGCATGCTGTTTTACATTATCGATTTTGAATAAGCAACGAGAAAATCCCCAATTGAGATTTTTCCTCATATTTTAGGATCGAGTCTGTTTAAAGGTCGTCACGGCAGTTTGTATTTTGGGATCTTTTCTCCTTCATGAGTTTACACTAAACCCCCGAAAAACCCAACGAATCCAAACCATGAATATAACTGCCACCTTTTGTACCCAACAAATATTAAATCACACATGCAGATTACACGAAATACATTAATATGTATAACATCGTCAACTTCTTTTTCGAACAGATTTTCTTCCAATTTTTTTTTTTAACCCATCGCGGGCCCCTCCCTCTTAAGCCGGCCGGTAAATATACACACACTGCTGACCGGCCCGTGTTGACTGCGTCTTGGCACTCGGCCAGCAGGTCACGTGGTTTCTTTATTTACTGCCGTTCTATCATCCGCGCGCACCCCCTCGTCGGTCCTGCATGAGTAATGATTTCGTGGAAAACGGCGAGGGATATTATAATCGAATGAAGTCCAGCTGGGTTTCTTGGGGATTTGAACGTGCGTTAAATAGGTTAGGTTAGCAGTGGTATACTTTAAGCACGATCGCAACATCTGTTCGTAATACCAGGATATTTTCCTCGCGTTGTTATATCACAGAGATAAAAACTGGGGCATGGAAAATAATGCTTGCATAATTATTTCTGAATACTGAATAATATTTCAATTATAATTTTAAGTCGTGAGAAATCGTTTTTGCCCTTTGTGTTTACAAATAACTAAAAAGTTGGAATTCCGTTACTTAGGATTTAGACCAAACCAAAGCGTTTAAAGAAAATGCTGTTTTTTTTTAATTTACCTTGAAGGTTCAAATGTTTTATCATTTTCATGAAAGGTTTACAAATAATACAAGTTTTTGTTTTTATTTACTGCTTGCGATAACTGTTTTCCAACGCAACCCAAGAAAAACAAGTGCCCATTGCAAAATCTAGTCTCTTAAAAAAAAATGCATTTCCATTAAAAACTAGATCCTATGAATCTAACTTTTTGATATGGACGCCAAAAAGTGCAGGTACTCAGGATATGCATGCACAACGTTGATAAATAACTTAATTGTAAATCAGCTGGTTATATTTTTCATGATATCCAAATTGTTTTCCCGTCGGAAATATTCAAAGCAGGTCACTGGCATAATCGAGGACAACATAATAACAAAACCCGGGTATATGAAAAAAAATCTTGGTATATGAAAGTGGAAAAATAAATAGCCTTGTACTTTAAACCATGGAGGAAGGAATGGGCCTGTTCTTTGAATGGTCGTTGTCACCACGTCTGGTGCGCGCGTGGCCTACGTGCAGCAGTGGCCCATGTGGTGTTTTGCGTGAAATTAACAAACCACGATCGGCTGTTCACTGGCCGTGTGGCTGACACATTTTCTCATGGGTGTGATCAGGCCTTGGCACGGCGCGGTCATTGGCGGCGGCCCGCTGGGCAAACAGTTTCTTCACCGGTGGTGGTGCCTTGTCAGTGTCACTACCCTGGAGTTGTAGAATCACTCTTGCGGCTAGCTTTCCTCGAAAGAGAATAAAAGGGGTTTCAAGTTCATTTGTCACGGTGTCCAAACTAACTTTTGATTTTCCGTGGAAACTTGTGCAGTTGCCCTTTAATGTGATTCAAATGATATTTTTATAGGTTTTGTATTGTAATATTTTTTTTTAAATACACTGTGGAATCATGTTGTTTTGATGATTTTTGTCGAAAATAGATATTGAAAATTCGCATTACTGTAGTTTTTTCCTTCATTGCAAGAAATGTACATTCTAAGGTATTGATAACTGTTATTACATTTTTGAAGAATTCAAAGAATTGAGAAAATTGTTGACAGCTTAAACCTAGTGTCAGTGAACCGACCTACTTATTTTAAACAATACCATGCTCCGTCCTACTTTGCTAAAAATGTTACAATTCCTAATCCCCGACCCAATTCGATTGCTTTCTTTCAACAATTCAGGCCCCGGCCTCGCCCTCCATAAAAACGGGGTATTTATTTCTAAAACTGTCCTCCATTTCTCTTGTTTCTGCGATCAATTTGATCAATGCCTTGTTTTCCACCGTCCCTGACACTTCTTTATTCAGAAAATTGTAGTATTATGTAACATTTCGAGCTCCCGCGAACTGGAAAACACGTTTCCTTGAACTGTTGTTGCTCACCAGTTTGCGGTCATGTCAAAAAAAAAAAAACTGGGCTGCGATTTTAGTAAACAACGGCCTTGGGTTGTGGTTTTGCGCATGACGGCGCGCGAGTGAATGGCCCGGGATCCCAGTCATCCGCACAATGGATATATGCTAATCGCCATGACCTCATTAACATCAGCCAATCGCCGCGGAGGGTGTTTCCCACCAGCCAATGGCGAGGCGCGTGCCATGACCGCGCGCTATCAGAAAGCCGGCTAAGCTCCGCCCACACACAGAATAACGAAATCATAAACAAACCGGCCGGCATGCTATCTCAGGGCCATTTCACGGCTCGAAACTTCAAGTTGCGGTCAGATCTAGTACAACATCGGAATGCAAGAAGTTTTCCACTGAGGGGAAAAAACCTCGACACTTGAGAGGCGCAAACCACATTTCCTCAGACTGTTAAAAGTAATTTTCTGATAGGTTTTTAAAAGTACGAGCTTTGACAGACACCGAACATGTACGGCTCCAAACGTTTAGCAAAGCGAAGCATCATCGGGACTCGCGTGTGCGCGCCGTGGCCCGACGGCATTTACTACCCAGGCAAAATCCGAAACATGGAAAACCGGTCTGTTTACACCATATGTTTTGACGATGGGTACACCAAGGCCTTCAGAGAGGCCGACATCGTCGGACAGGGGTTTCGAGGAGTCGGCAGCGTCCATCTCAAATTCGGCCAAAAAGTCTTCATCACTAACAACGGCCGGGAAATGGTGGGCCACGTGCAAAAACACAAGAAACCGACAAACGAGGTACGTAAGAGTTACGTTTCCAAATCCGCTGAATGTATTGTGCATAATCACATTATTGTATCATTATCTTTTTCTTGTGTGAAACACGTGTCAAATTCACAATTGCATATATTGTGCCACCCACTTTTTTCAATGTAGGCCCTAAATTTACATTTTACTACTTTGTATGAATGTATGGTGCTGCTGATTAAAATTGTGTTTTAAATATCGTATATAGCAATCATAAAATGCCGTTTGATGTTCATTGAAAACATACGCATCGAGCATTTGTCGAGACAATTTATGAATAGGATTTTGTGGTGTGTGCTACATTGTATAATCTACATGTACATGCATTTTAATGTACATGTACATATGTTTCCAGTACTCCAACATGGGTCAGAAAATTTACAAACACATTGTGTTTTGTTTGGTTCCGAATGCAAATTTGTACATATATCTCTGCACACATTGGAAATTTACAGTATTTTTCCATTGCAAATACTATTCGATTTGAAAAAAACCCAGGTACACAACTAGAGGGTAAAAATGTGAAACACATGTTTTGAAAACTGTGGTCCTGTTGACACACAGAAAACAAGTGTTAGGAAAGTAGGTCATTTCACTTCTTCCATATCAAGCCCCAACTTGTTGATGTGAACAGTACAGGCATAAAGAAAAGGAAATCTTTTTTTAAAGCTCCGTGATTGAAAATCAGCCAGAATCAAACAACCATAGGCTTAGCCCTCTTTCCATTGAGCGAGCTTCCCTATTATTTGCTTTCATTCAGGTTTTTTTTTTCTTTCTCCTTTTTTTTTTTTTAAATCCACGAGGCTGTTCAATGCCGCGTGGCCTTGGGCTGCGCTGAAGTCATAAAAGTAAACATCGGTCTCGTGCCTTCCACAACAGACATCAGCCCACCACACGATTGTATATTATTGTTGTATATTCAACTACAAATCTGCTCAATGCACAACAAATAGTATTGGGTGTATTTTTAGGTTCGGAGATGGCACCACCGACTTGTAATTTTACTACTGTGTGATTTGGATTTATTGATTGAATGGATTTCAAAATAATATATTTTGACCATATAATACCATTGAAAAGAAATCTCTTGTGCAATTGGGGAATTCTTTCACATTAATGTGCAGGCAAGGAAAGGAAAGATTTTGTCCCTTAATGTATTGTTTTCTATTTTGGGGTACTTGTTATCACTATAATGTATGGCGTATTTGGGATTTCCCCAAATGTATTGCACAACTACAGTATGTTTGAATTTATTACACCTGAAAGATAATGGACATCTTTTTGTTGTCAAAGATTTGAGATGCAACTTAAAAAATGTATTTTTTAAGTTGTATCTCAAAGGGTATTGTTATTGTTATTTTTTATTATTATTATTATTATTATAAGTTCTAGCAAAAGGTATACATAATTTCAACTTTCGTTGTAGAAACTGTTAAAATAAATGAGGGTCACTAACGACAATTTAAAAAACAGTCACTAATGACAATTTAAAAAACAATTCTTGTAAAATTCAGGTCTTCATCAAGATCGCGGACAGCTCGGAGACCATGATCCAACGGAAGTTGGACGAGGTCCGACTCATGGAGAGCCGCAAGTCGCCCCGCCTCGCCGACCACGAGACCAACTACCTGAAGTTGGCCGACATGAGCCCAACCTCGGATGCCAAGAAACGGAACGTGTCCAGCAGCATCGATGTGCCCAGGTGAGTCAACATCCCAACTTCAAATCCTGCCCATTTGCGAATTTTTAAAAGCCTTTGTTGTTAAACAACAACTAAAGAGGACATTGTCATAGCTCATGCATAATTCATGTATTCATATTCATGCTTCCTATTCAATAATAAATTTCACGCACCAAAATGACCAAGCATTGTCTCAAGTGAAATTTTAGAAATGAACCTGTTGAGATGAAATTTGTAGAAATGTTCCAAAACCAATCTTGAAATTATCAGATCGTGTCAAACAAAATTCCTACGCCTTCTAAATTATTTTCCACATCTAAAATCCATCCACAAAGGGACTGCCCACGTAGATCTGGATATTCAGTTTGTAGAGTCCCAATACAGTACACAGAAGGTCGCAGGTTCAAATCCGGCAGTTGTCAACTTATTATTTTTTTCAACCCCACGGGCTTACAACTTCACCCACGCAAAAACCTTGGCTGTTTTGAGACTTTAAAATTAAAGCATCTTTCATTTTCACTGGTTGTGCATGGTCAACCAAGTTATGGTCAGTTGCACCACAAACGATTCTGGCCAGCTTGACCATAAGCCGGACAATAGTGGGCAGTCCGTCCACAAACAGGCCAGCTGCCCATCTGACCTCCACCTTTTTGTTGCTGCCCAATTGTCATCTTAACAGGTGTCTGTTTTGACCACTATACTACAACTTCAAAGTTGCTTTCAAATTTACCTGTACATGTCGTTTTGAAAACTCATTTAGATTATGTGCTTAAGTCAAGTAAGTGGTAAAACCCTAACAAAAGTCAACCCATCAAACACCAATGGCATATTGTGTTGGCATCTGTCAGGATGGGTACAGTAGGCCTACCCCTAAACTGACAGTCTTTTACATTGGGTTGGCACACCTCCAGAATCACAGTCAGAAATATGTGTGCAGTTTCCCATATGGTGTTGGAATTTGCCAGGATGGGTATGGTTCTTAGTGGATCATGCTAGGGAGTTAGTGTTAAGTGGTTATATTTTTTTTATATTTTGGTCATTGAATAATTGCATCTGTTTAACATCAAATATGTGTTTTGAAAGAAACATCTAAACCATTGTTTTCAAATATCATCCATGTCGTAAATTACCTTACCGTGTTGTATCAAAAAAATGTCGTATTCCAACAAAATAAAGGCCAAAGTGGAATTACATTAAATATTGATTTAAAAAAAATATTTGCTGTCATAAGCATATTCCTGTGCACAATTGCCACGTATTTCGAGTACACAATGAACAATGCGTTTCACACATGCAACAAAAACCAATTTGGTCGTATTGATAAGTTCGCTAATGATCTCACCATTGTAAATAATGGCATATCGCAATGCAGTCTCGCCATAATAGACCTTATTTATCAGAAGCCCTTTGACAGAAACATGGGACTTTGCCCCTCGATCCAGAAAAAAAAAGCAAAAATATTTTCGACGGAAATGGGTCAGGATGGGACGTCATTTGTTGACATAATTCGATAAACACATTTTTTTGGAGTGTTCTCGAACGTTGTACATTGCTAGACATCTGATATTGTTTACTTGTGCTGCTAAGTCAATATTATTGTCGATATTTTGTCGAGGCGTACGTGAGGATAATGTTTTTGCAAACCTTCTAGTTACTGAGGCAGCAATGCTAATTTGATCTGTGACAAAACCATTTCATGTTGAAACATGATGTATTTTTTTATGGTAGCATGAACGATAAAAAACCTGAATTTTGAATTTTAATTTTGATGTCGTCAAATGGCAAACTGACAAACAAAACTGAACAAACATCATCTCGGAATGGAACTGTCACGGGACAAGTCGCCATTTTAGTGACTGTTTAAAATGATTGTCATCATTTCATTAAAAAAATATCGACAGTATTCAGTTTGTGTCGCATTTTTCTCAACCGTAAGAAAATAAAGCCTGACATAGTTTTACCTCGCCCCAAAAGCATTCAGACGACAGAGAAAATGGGGGAGGGGGGGGGGGGATGCAAATACAAAATGGAACATTCCCGCCACCTGTAACTTTTGCACGTGACGCACCTTTTACCAACGTGTAAGGGGATATACCTCGATGAGATCATGTCCGAGTCGCGGTGTTGCGCAACCGGAACTGCGGTTTTGTTTGTGGGCGGGGTCGTATATTCGCCGGAACTGTTGTCAATCTTTGGGTATTTAATTTTACAGTAGTCTACAAACTGGTGTTGCCCCACGAAAACTTGTGCAATCAAATTATTGCGTGCGATGGTAAAGTCATAGGGTGATACGAGCCGATACACGGAATGCCCCGTAGGCCCTATACAAAAAAGGGCAACTTTTAACTATTAACCCTAACCTTCCCAAATCCTAAAAAAAACATCTTCTTTGCAAAATGGAGGATTTTGCAGGATTGAGGCTATATGGCCAAAATGTGTGGCTGATTTCGGAGGATGCACGGTGTCAAGGTCTTGGGCCCGACCTTGTGTTGTTTAAGCTCAGCCGTGCATAAATTTAGGCCTATAGAGTAGAAAAGGATACGCATGCATAACAAACATGTTTTAAGGCATTTTAAACTGATTATGTCAAAATGGGTTTCGCACGTAATGGAGTTTACATATTCAATGCATTGTGTTCATAGTTCGTACGAGAACGGGTTTTACCATAATAATTTACTTCAGAAGTGGTGTGTGCTGTACGTACGCTATCGACAACAATATACAATGTATAGCCGAACATGATTTCATTCTGGTTTTGTTTGGTATAAGTGTTACCTTTTTTAAGCAAAGTACCAGTGTCGACTTGCGCGTCTCACGCGACCTTGCTTTCAGGTCACGGTTTCTGTTTATTGACAAAGGCGATCAATAAAATCGATTAAGAGATTCTTACGGCTTGCCCAATGCCATCTTGTGTTTAACAAGATCAAATATTAAAATGAACACGAAAGATTACCCTGATGAGTCTAATTACAGAAAAGATTATTTTCAAGGTTGTTGCCTTGCATGTATCATTGATAAAACACAAGGGTAAATACCAGACTATCGACGCAGTCTTACCAAGGTGTGAAACGCTCAACTCGTGACTCTCGCCACACATTTAAAAGGTCAGGGGTTATTACTGATGCAAATGCACTGTCGTCTGTTCATGAATAATTCATGCAAATGATGTCCCGTGAGAACATCAGATTAAAAATTCATCGTTTGAATTCCCAATGCACGATAGTATAGTGAAAGAAACATGTTCAACAAACTATCACCAATTTTCATTTCCAACATCATAAAAAGGTTGCAATTCTGGATTTGCCTCAGAAGTTATACATGTGATTCGTTTGCTATTTCTGTCAAGGATGGAAATCGAGATATTCCATTCTTTTTATATTATATAGTCAAGTGCCACATTCATGTGCGATTTTCCCGAAACCAGTCAGTTCCCATTAAAGATTTTTAATATTCCACCTTCAAGAATCATACCAATTGGCTAAAAACAAAAGCCTGCCGCCAACATGTAAAGATCGTTGTTGTTCAATTGAGTGCAATAGCTTAAGGTATCGAAGATAATGTTTTTACACCATTTGGGTGATTAATCATACCACCTATATCCAAAATCATTTACAGTGGAGTACACAGTGTATAGACATGTACACAATGTACATGTACATGCACTTGTACATGACCGTGTAAATCCAGTGTTCAGCATGCAATGCACACTCTGTGCTGGCAATTTACATGTCATAGCGTCCGTTCATGCACACAACGCACGGCAAAAGGGCAAGCCAGCTAAGTCCCCTCCACAGCGAGACCTGTGGATCTCAAAACATTCCTTCTGCCTGACCTTTCAATGTCAATTTACAGGTCGGCAGATCGAAGCATTAGGTAGTTTGGTGCACCAAGTAATACTGCCCCGTGGCCAGCTAAAAACCGGCGGAATTAACATGCTAATTTTTCTTAGTCCGGGCATGTTTGCACACGCCCGGACGCATGTAAGATCGTGACTATTGGTTATTTCGTCCCCCAGTGGTACAGAAAGCTTGTTGATATTGCATTCGGGGCCAGTGTAATGTAAGAAAAAAAGAGTTGATTAAAAATTTGTTCTCGTTTTCCTTTATGGACGCTGGTAATCCTGTTATGTACCAGTCCTCGGGTTCTTTGTACCACTGTAGCGGAGACGCGCACATTCTATTGAAAGAACCAGTTAATGAGGTTAATGGAGGCCCTTATTTTTGCCTTGTAACGATTGGATCTTTTTGCTTAACCACTGCAAATGGTTTGCCCAACCTTCATATTATGAGTGGGATGTTTGTGCAGAATTGTGCCCCTTTTTGGAAGACAGAACCACATAACCAAACAGAAACCCCAAACAATTTCATGTGGGCCTATATACATTCTTTACCACTGACGTGGCCTAACTGTAATAAAACGTATAAGTTTTAAAGAATACAAAGAAACGTTTCGCATTTTGTACCCGTATTTTTCCATCATCTCGCCATCATTGCATGGGGAATCACCCAGTAACCGACAAAAACACCACTATTTCGCAATCCCTCCGTTTCGTGTTGACAAACTCCTTCAGTTCGTGCAAACCCCGGAAACGCAGTTCTCCGGAAGGAATAAAAAAAAAAGTCCCTGGATATGTCGTTCACGGATGAGCTCATCCATTGACATAAATGGTACTGTCCTGATTAGTATTCAGCCCCTCGCGCGCGAATGGTACGACCCTTCATAATTTCGTCCAGTAGGAACGCGTCGTTTCTGCGGGTTTGCGCGTCATGAATTTAACTGTTTACGTGCCATGCGCACTCGACCGGAACTTGCTGGTCCGTGAAAATGAAAGAACGAACTTGCCTTTGATGAATTTTTCTGACAAAGACGACGAAAAAGTCTGGAAATGAACAAAAAACGAGATTGTTCCAGATAGAAGGGATGGGGTTTCGTCATTCATTATACAAACTTTATGAAGCGGCATTAAACCTTGACGGTATAGCTGTGAAGTTGAAAATTGTGAAATATATCGTGACTAACAT